TTAATCGATGCGTCTTTGCTGTATTCTATAAAGCTTTCTTATATTTCCTTTCTTTGTTATTTTTATATTCTACTAAATAAAAATATATAATTTTATTGCACGCGTATTCACAAACAAAATATATTTCTAAGCCTTTGTAATAAAATGCGCCTTTGTGTTAAAATATTCTCCGTAATTTGTAAACTCACTTCATGCTGTGAAAAATATATGAATTCGTTAAATATTATCTCACTCATTGTAACATTATTTATACTTCGTAATATCCTGGTTATTTGTAAATAATAGAATGCCTTCCGAAAATTAAAACAAGTTAAAACTATATTGTTTTTTTACAAGCGCAACGAAGGGTAGTTACATTTGAATTAAACTAAGCGCTGAATTTATACAAAGCCTCCGATCGTTTTTGAGTTTGTAGTACGTCAAATACTCGTTGTAAGTCTTTCCCAACAGAATATATTTTCTGATCGGGTTTTGCATCGCAAGTTTGGGGATTACTAAATCAAAACTTTTATGTTCCGGGAGCTGCATCGTTCTGTCCACTGACGAGAACGTAAATAGTGAGAATTCAAAGGCAGCTCGCCACAAAAGATGCTTCGTCTCTTGGGAGGGAGTATCGCATAGGGTTAAATGGCGTAACGAGCCCGATCGTATGGCGCAAGACGCCATGGTGAATGTTCGCAGGTCGCCTAGCCGCATAGCCAGGGATTCGAATTTAATCCGGATTAGTTCGTAAGGGTCACAATATCCTCCCCTCTGGCTGCACCTCGTCGCTGTTCGCCCCACCGTCCGTGCACACGGATGCGCGCATATAGACGTCTAGGTAAATCCGTACGGAACACACGCGGACGATTATCCTAATTCCGAGCTGACGCTTACGGCTCGCGGACTAAAAGGGGACAAACGATCTCATCTTTCCAGCTCATCTTTGATGCATGCCGACGCGAAATCACTTCTCGATAAAAAAAAACGATGCCAGCTCTCTTATTTTTGGATGTATTTATTTCTAGTTCCTTGTACAAAGAATTTTTATGAAATTAAGAAATTCACATTATTATAATTATTAAAAATTTTATAATCTGTTTATGCGAACCAGTTTTCAAAGTTTAATGTTATTGCATTATACAACAATAAAAATTATATTAAATATTTTATACTGTCGCTTATTGCACGGTTCAGCGTTAGAAATAAATAGATCAAACTTGCAGAAATTTTAAAAATTAAAAGTCTTGCCTAAGGCAAAGTGAAGATAAGAACTGAGAAACGTAGAAAAGGAACAGGGAGGGAAAGGATTAACTGTGACGCACGGAGATTTAAAGAGGATCCTCGAGATCCGTAGATTTAGGAAGTGCGTGCTTCCGTCCACCCGCATCCCCCATCGCGTCTCATACCACCCTTTTCTCCTCGTCTAGGTTGCACGCCTTCGAAATGCCAAAGTACAGAATACCTACCCCTACTTTCTTAAGAATACTTAAACTGATTCCTTCCTGAAAGTTAGCCTGAGAAAAGAATCGCAGGACACAATTTGACAATTTAATATACGATAATTTGATATACGATAAAATTTCTTCTCTCCCTTTCTTGGATCTTTTTTCGTAGCAATTTTTATTGCGTGAAAGAATCAAGCAAATGATGAAAATAGAGAAACGTACAAATTTAACGGAGTTTTATAAATGATAGATTAAGCAAATATTTAATTATAATCACTTCTTTGATTTTGTATGCATACTGCGATTGACGTTCTCTATTCTATAGCAACTTTGTCTATTTTCTGCGAAAAACGAAATGCGAAAAAGATACCAGGTACACTGTTAATATTCCATTTCTAAAAAAAAGTCTAAATTTAAAAAAATATTTTTAAAAAAGTAGTAAGTTACATTGTTATATACAATATAATTAAATAGATTTACAAACACACAAATACATATATATGTTTCTGCCAACATTGGAGATAAGATAATTCAATAATAATTTGAATTCAAGAAAATATGTACAATTAATTTGCTATCGAACGTTTCATTCAACAATAAACGTGCCGTAAATATGTTTGCGATGTTTATATATTTAATGCTCTGTTTAGATGTTGCCATCTACGAATTTTAGTGTCGTATAAAATTAGAATGTTAAGTATCACGGACTCCGTTTATACAGCGTTTAATTCTCATTGCAAACGGACGCGTGCAAATTGTTTCCACCGCATTATCGAGGATCAAGGAAATTCCGCCGATAGTCTATCTCGTTTACGCGCTTTAACGATCCCTCTCGCGCGACTTCCATCGAGTACGTACGTCTTCGTCATTCTCAACGGAAGCGGACTTTATGACGCGACATGGCAACTGAGTTTCTGGATGCCTCGAATAAAAGTGGAGCATTTCGAGCAGACTCTTTGTATTATTTGTAATATTATTGAACAACAACCTTTCGCAATAGATAAATAAATGATGATAGCACTCTAACTAGCATTATCTATAAATTACTTATATAATATATATTACTTTTAATACCATAAGTAGAGTTGTATTAATTGTTATCCATATGTTATCTATGTTTCCTTTTCTAAATGGATATTGTTAGGGTAAAGTCGCCTATTATGAGATACCTTTTTTCAAAGGCTTGTAATTTATTTAATTTATAACCTGAATTTCTAGTTTCACGTCAAATGTATGGGAAATATATTTAAGTTTTATCGCCAAAAGTTAGCAGTTGATAATAGCTATACTTTGTTGTACGTGAAATTTTTTATCAAAAGTGCCGATTTTGATCATTCAAAAAAATGGTTCCTAATATGAGATACAAGGGTTTTCTTGTATGAGGTGGTATCTCATAACAGAAACTAAGGAAAAAATAAAGATAGCTTTTTATACACGCTTTTCTTATATTACATACAAGTAGGAACAAAGAATTTAAATGTTATACATAATAATTATACAATTTTTCGATGTGTGTACATATGAGTATGTGTGTGTAAGCAATCTTAACAATAGAATCGTCATTTTTAACATTCCGTTCAATAGTATGCTTTGAGATATTGAATTGTTTAGATGCTCTCATATTAGCTAGGAATATTCTGAGTATCTCATATTACGACTTTCATACCTTGCGATTTCATGATCACCAAATCTTTACAGTTAAACAAATCATTATATCATGTGTTTTCCTATGAATACGATCTTACTATATCACTGCATGCAGATTTTATTACGCAATATTTATTTTTGTATAATAAAACAAGATTTAAAGACTAACCTCAATAAAATTTGACAACATTCAATTTCACAAATTTTTTTTTGCAACGACTGCACGCATGATCTAATAATGAATTTTCTACTAAACAGGTTTCACACTAAGAGTAAAAAGTTCATGATAGAATCAAACACATATGCTTGTTAGTTTAGCAGAAACCCCGCTATCTCATATTAGGAACCTATCCCACAATAGGCTTTACAATAATAGACTTTACCCTAAGTTGGACAAACAATATGACATAACTTTGGAGTAAAAAAAAATAAAATCGAGAACATGAAATGATTTAAACTTAAAACGTATCATTTCCCTCTTTGCTCTCTTATTTATTACACAAGAGCTATATCAGCCTTCACCGGACGTGAGACGGTGACGGCGATTAACGCCGCTTCCGTTCGACAGAATGCATTAATGGACGTGACATCGGTGCATCGTTACCGTGTTTACCTCATCGCGCCGTCACATGAGTTATCCCAACCGAGTTACGCGTTGTAAAGACGTTAAAGCTGTTTTCGCACGACCCGATCTTTCGTAAAAGGTGACTTAATTCGCCCGGCAAATCGACGATTTACGACCGCGGGAACCCTGCACAAGCCAACCACACCCGAGATGCAACCCAAGGTAATGGGGTGTATACAGATGCACTCGCATAGGGATAAGATGGTGAGGAAACGGGACGAACGTTTGATTATACGAAATACAAGAGTTCAAATACGTTCTAATAACCGTATAGAATTTCTTCATTGTGTTATTTTGTGATATTTTTAAATTAAATTAAAAAATTCATCAAAATATTATTTAAAATGTATTTATACCTTGGTAGAAATGTCATGCATTTTTTGAGTACACAGTAAAAAAATTTGTGTATTTGTGTTGGAAACGGTCCACTCACGTTTGTGTTAAATTTTTTAACATATTCGAGTGTTAATTTAACATAATGTGATTATGTTATTTAATGATTTTTTGTGAAATTGATATTCAATGTTTCTTAGTGCCAAAATGACAATTTATGAGTAAGTGAACAAGTAACATAAAAATAATGTGTTTTAAAACGTAAATTCTAAGACAAATGAATGAAATGTGTTAATTTAACATATCATAAATGTTAATTTTCTGAAAAAAAATTTATTTACAAACTGTGTCGATGTTATCTTTCTTTGTTTTTGTTCTCTTACATAATATTTGTGTTACCTCCTAACTTATTCATCTTGTGTAAAATTAACTCAAAAATTTGAGTGGACCGTTTGGGACATGCGATTTATGTTAAATTCAACATATATTTTTTCCAACTGTATAGTTACTAAACAGTTATACCAACTTCTGTCTAGTAACTAAGAAGGAAAACTACTTAGGATCCTAATCAGGTTGTAACGCTTTGTTTGCAGTTACTGCATACAAAAGTTGCGTAAAATCCATTTACTGAATAGAAACACAACAAATAATAGATATTAAATTGATTAAACAAGCCAACTGCTCATGAAATGGACGGAATAAAACTATCAAGTTCTGGTCCATTTCCTACTCAGTATTGGCACAACTAATGAGAATACAGTAATAGGTATTAGATAGTAACTGGATAGCGTCTAAGAAAACTGTATACGTTTCTACCAGGGTAATATTATAAAACAGAATCAACTTTCAATTAAAAAATTTTATGAAATTATCAAACTTTGTCAAAATAAAATATTGATAATTGCTATATATACTTAATATTTTTAATAAATCATTATTTATCATTATTACTAAAAAGAAATATTTACCAGTACTGGAGGCGGATTTGCTGAGATCGAAGCCTTCCTGCTTGGGACTGGTGATTTCTTGTTTTGGGTGCTGGTTGTGCGCAGAGAACGGTGTCTGGGGTGTACTGAGAGGTGTCTGCGATTGCAGCGGATGTACCGGCGGGTGCTGAGATGCGTTCTGCGGCTGAGACTGCTGGGACTGATGAGACTGAGGGCTCCTCGGTAACGAGGACACGCTGCTCGGTCTCGATGGTGGCGAGGCTTTGTGCGTCAATGCCAACGCTTGGCTCTGCAATTACGAGAAGATATTCATTTTTTTTTTTAAATTTATTTTGAACAATTTTCAATTTCGACGCGATAATGAATGATATTGTCTATGTACGATTATTATCGTATGCATTATCAAAATGCGACACATTTATTTTGTCAAAGAGGAGAAACAGGGAAAAATAATCTCGTCTATTTAAAAGAAGATGAGAATATTATACAGAGAAATTCGATAAGCTCTACATTATAAAATATAAGAATCTTTTTATGTATCGAGAGGACGCGAAAGAAAGTTTAATACCGGGAAGCATGATATGTACATTTTTACGCTTATTACTAAGGTAACAAGTTCTTCCTCGGCTTCTGTATTGTCCTTGGCAAAGTTTCACAGCGAAAATATTTTCTGCGTACAAGAGCACGTTATGTAAATTATTGTGATGTTTATTTCATCGCTCGTTTATGTATAATCCAGCGAGAGTGCGGTAATCGCCGCGGGGTAATACAAATCCTTTGCTGTCCTTAATCTCTGAAGACAAAATTCCCTGGCACATCATGCTTCTAACGGTCGCATGACTTTTTTACGAGGAACGATTACCTATATATAAACATTTCTACGGAGAAACGTAGCTCCTATTAATCTTTAAAATATAAAAAGTATCATAAATCATCGTTGTATATTCATAAATCATCGTGTGTATCTTATTTGTCCTTATTACCTTAATTTTCACCTTAAAGTTCAAAATTTTATAAATAGATTTTTAATATATTACAATGATAATATATTACACAAATTAAATGTGACGTATCTTTGCTAAAATGGGCTCGCGCGCGATAAACGATTGCCTAGAATCTGCTTCTAAAAAGAAAAAAGAGATAACTCGCGCGCGAATTAACTATGCACGATTGGAGGCAATCTAGCGATTAAAAAAGCCTTCGGCGGCAATTCACGGTGGGAGCGTCGCCTAAACGCGGTCAAATCTACGACGTTTCGGTCGGGCCGAGCGAGCCGGATGATCTAAGCGTCGTCGACGATGAAATCTGAGCACGTGCTCAATTCCGAGCGGCGACCAGGCTAAGGCATAAGCGCGGACTTAGATTTATGTATGAGTGAACTGAACTTAACACTAACGGCTAAGCCGTCCACGGTGTCAACTGGGGTCAACTAGGCCCAGAATGCGACAATCCTACACCACCGCAACCGCTGCCGCCGTCGTCGCCGCCGCCGCCGATGTGCGAAATGCACCGCGGAGCGATGATTTTCGTTTGGAAACTGGATCGTCGATGACGCCTCCGTGGAATACGGAGCGTCAAGCGGCAGAACGAGCCGAGATACGAGGCGGCGTTTAACCCTTCGTGATCCTTCGCGACTTCCTGTCGCGTTCATGTTTGCTCGCAATCAGTAATTTTCGCGAGTATTTAGTCTCGTTATTTAATTACAAAATTATGAAATTTAATCAGCCGGTACTCACGCGCGCGCCACAAGGCAATCTTGAAAAATCGACGACGAGCATCGTTAATTGCTCCTCGGAAATGATTATCTCAGTTTTCAACCGAACAGATTGCACAAAACTCATCGTCTTTTTATATTTATGTAAATTAATTCTATCAAGTCGCAACTAAGCTTCAATTTTTCTTATTTTTTTTTGAATAATGGATCTTTTACTCGCATATCTTTACTCGTAGGAAATAAAACAAATATATATACATAATCATTGAAGTCAAATCAAAAGGAAAAGAATAATTTCTTCTTCTATCTACAGGTTTTAATATCTTTGTACATTGCGTCTCTCATCGATCTAACGATCGGTTGCAAAGGATCGACCGGATGATTTTTTCGCTTGCCCGGACTGTACCGAGGTACCAGCTACTGTTTCGGGAGCTCTTCGAGGTATGCACTCGCAAAAAACACGTCAGACCGCTGAAGACCCGGGCCTGGAACGGGAGTGAGCGAGAAGAAGATGATGCAGAAGAGGAAGGAGAAGGTGAAGAAGGGAGCGGAGAAGCGGGATGCCTGAAGGTGCCGAAGAGAGCGAGAAAGAGAGATAAGGGCCAGCCGGCATCATTGATGGAAGAGAGACGAGCGGGAGCGACGGGCCCCGAGGGTCCACGTGGATTGGAAGAGGACGGAAAGGATTCCCGGCTCGTTTCCACGCGAGGAATGAAGACGAACGCGAGACCGAAAGCGGGAGCGTGTAAGAAGGGGCAACAGGTGGATGGGGTTAGCGGCTTATCCAGCTAACGCCCCAAGTGATATCGCGGTAACTCTGCTGTGACGTGCGAGGGGTTACGACGTTGTTGTCGTAAAATCAGGAATTTCGGTTCGCTCATCGATCCGGCTTTCGCCGTAGTTGAGAATTCGCTCGGCCTCCCATGGAATCGGAAATCGCGCTGGGAAGGCGTCAGGTCCAAGAAACGTTCGGTGCGAGAAACACCTCCGAAAATTCGCTCACTTCAACGATAAAAATTGCCTCTTATCAGGTATCATTAATTATGCGGTAATTAATGCGATGAAGTTAACCAGATGGACCAATATAAGCGACTTAGTAGATAGATGAAATTGAAATAAAGAATTGGAAGAGTGTATAAAAAAAGTTTGTAATAATACCAGTCATAATTGCCGAAATATTTTTTCGCATTATGCTAAGTAATTGTCTCATTAAATATTAATAAAACAAGAATAATTGTTTAAATTGAGTAACAGAAATTATAATAAAATGAAAGTACATCCACCGTATTACTCGCGAATATATTGCCAACACACAAAAGACAACAAATGCTGCGAGGATTCGTCCAATTTGTGCGAGAGTTAGCATGAATTTAAACAAACGTACTTTTCTCTAATTGTGTGTGTGTGACGACAGTAAAAATGGAAAAGTAAATAATTAAACACGAAGCGCGAGCGCGATATCGCATTGCGCCACGAACGACGAGTTCGGCAGGCGGTTTATCAACGGATCAGCTTATCTACCGGGTGTAACAGAGATACGCAGCGATTGCGTTTCCTGCTAGTGTTTCCCGTTAATGCGATAACCTTAATCGTTGACCGTGCACAGGATTCTCGTGGACCTGCGAGAGATTCTAAACGGAATTAACCGCGACGGAACAGTGGCGGAATCACCGCGCGTTTTGGATCGTCCGCACAAATGAACTTACGTAAGACCGAATCACGATGACAGTCTTCAATGTTTGATCAATTGAACGCGTGGTCCTTTTCGGAGTATGTCTTACGTCAGCGGCATCGTTCCTCATGTGGCCAATTCTACTCATCGAAATAAAAAAAAAAGAAGAGAAAGAACACTCACAACGATATCGCCTCTTTGCACGAGGATCCTTTCTTCTCGTCTCGTCACAATTTCTACGACGATGTTCGATGCGCATGAATTATCAACGCTCGTCTCGCTTGTCTTTATTAATTCTACGAATGCTGTATTAATACGCGTAATGAAAAATCGCGCTTCACGCCGTGAGCGATACGTCGCAGCGTTCTCAGAGGATATGAGATCAGTTTAGGATATGAGTTCATTCTAGCTGCATTTTCAAACGGAAATAATGAAGACAATTCGAACAGTTACCGATCCAAAATTCTTTTAAAATCTATGATCGAAAAAATCTATATGTAAACTTTGATTTCAAAATAAAGAGAGAATTTTATTCATTCACCTTTGAGATTTTTCGCGATCTGCACGTTTTTTATTGATTCAAAACAGATTTTTATTAAAGAAATAATAATAAATCTGATAATTAGCAAGTTGGCTCCTCTTTCTCTTATAAATTTCCTACATTATTTTTACCACTAAATTCTTGCACCTCACTTTGGATCATCCAATCCATTAGTAGTTGTCTGTGAAAGAGGAAATCTTACGTTCGATATACTTATGTATTAATTTAGAGTATTATACTATAAGCTTAGTTGCACTCTAATACCTGCGCTCTATTCTCATTTGTCTAAATTCTTAGAAAACTTTACGAAAATTAGATAATGTTGATATAATCGTTTTATAATTGTTAAAGATTCCGATTACGAAGATAGACTGTTTCTGGAATATGCTTTTATAGAACATTGGAAAGCACTTGCCGTCTTTCTTAATCTCCGATCGATACAATAACATGCAGCATTGTGTACTAATAACAATTCGTAAATCGCACTTAACAAATTTTAAAGCGATTCACTATCTGTTTTAAAACGCGTGATAATTTTGCTATCTTTTGGCGGTCATCGCATGAAATGGAATGAAATGTGGCATCCATATTAATCTGCAACATTCTAATCACGCTTATCGAAATATCGAGTCGGCGATATCCTCGAACGATAATTGGCTGTCTCTTTGTGATAGATAATCCGCGGATTGATGCGTTTGCGATCGTATTACGTAAATTGTTGCCGACTGTAATGTCAGATACTTCGTTCCTAAGCGCAAAATATGGTAGAGCTAAAGATTAGAAAGCAATAGATAGCATCTTGCACCAGCAATGATTGCTGATTTCGAGGGTTTATACTAGAGAAAGCAGCGAGAATGCAAGTATTTCAAAATTACAGTTTAATTGACCATATAGATAAATTAGTCTTTAATATTAATATCAGAAAATATATTTATAAATACATTTCAAATTTAGTAGCAAAATATTTATGTAATATTAATATCTCAAAATAATATATAAAAATATAATGCTTTTTTCATAACGATTCAAACTGAATATAATATAACGATTTCAGAAATCTCTTTTTCTTCTACAAGATATGATTATTCATTACACAAATCTTCGTGGAGAAATTGTTGTAACGCATTTTAATTAAAAAAAATAATACGATGAGGAACACGCGTGCTCTATATAATAAAGTTACCTGACACGAAACCGTTCGCATCGCCGTAACCAATTTTTCCTCACAAAATATTCACTGAGAAAACAAAAGATCGTGTCTGCGGCATAAAAAGGCAACGTAAAAGGCCTACAGAAAGAGGACCGCGAGCTCTACCTGCGTTTGATATATCGGCTTCGGTGGCCGGATAGATGGATTACAATCATTCCGGGAGCTGGGGTGGTCAAATACCGTGACCATGCGTGTTTCAAACGTATCCTCGTGCACGCACACGTAGATATGTACGACGCACTTTCGAGTACACACGTGGCGACCCGTGCGTGCACGAGCAGTCCTGCGTGCAACGCGCTGCAAGGACGCGTTTTCAAGTGCCAGAATGCAGGAGGTGCGTCGCGGTAGCGTGAAAATTTTACATCGCGAGCGAGCTCTCTTCACTGACGTTTCTCTGCTGTTTAATATCGCCAGCTTGCGCAGCTTTGTTACGTTTATTAAACATTTATTAAGCGTCATAGATCTACCTATAATATATTGATAGCGACAGAAAATTTAATTAACTTTGCAACGCCGCGCCTATCCCTCTTTTTATTTCTTCCCTCGCGTGCGATCATTATGCTCGAGTTTCGCCATGTCGCTTTGTTGCTATTAGAGTTGCTGTTATTTACTCATATTAATTTGCTCCTTTGACGATGTAATTTAAATAACTATAATGCAAATTATGAAAACTGAATTTAGAATTTTTACACATCCTGTAATCCAAATTAGTGTATTGTCCTTGCGTTTTCACAAGAACAAACTACAAAATGAGTCTTCGTACGTTAATACCGTAAATATGAAGGTGGAGCTTCATGTATTTGACAGCATTATAAAATTATACTCGGTCTCTGACTTCTTTTCTGAAAAACATCTGCATGGATAATACATCTCTCGAGGTGCTTCCATATAAGTTACATGGATATCCTCTCTTTTAAAATATTTAATATGTGTTTTGTTACAATGAAAATAAAATGTACATAACTCTTTTGACAAAATGGTTCACGTCATATAATTCGTACATGATAAATTGGTAATTTTCTCAAATAAATGACGCATATTGTACATTCCAATAGTATCATGGCTGTGATAATACAAAGGTGACCCTGTACGTGTCAGATAACTGTGTATACTATTATGTATATTATCGAAAATATCGATCGTATAAAGTTGTAAAAATACTAAAAATATTGAAATACATAGATAAGATAGAAGTGCACTAATAAGTAAAGAAAGAGAGACAAGAGAGTAAAGCAATAAACAATGTAAAGCAGAAGAGTGTGTGAGAAAAGTATATATGAATAGATAAGTGAAGCAGGAATGTTTGTAGATCCAAATCTCTTTCTTGGCTTTGAAAAGCCATACTGAAGAGAATAAATCCTATTCTATATATTCCAAAATATCGTTACTCACAAAAAACTTATGATTTATCAACTTTCAAAAATGTTTGTATTTGTCTAATACTTTTTGTAACGGTCAAAACGTAAGTAGAACATGGGATTTCGTAAACCAGAACGTGTTACATATCGTCATGATAATTTTACATTAGTCTGTCTATTACAACAATGTATGTAAACGAATTTTGACGAACGTATTCGTAGCGTGTTTTATTGTTAATTTTTCGATAGCCATGGTGAGCCGAAGGCGGCCATGGATCGAGAGATCGAGCGGTCAATGGAGACATGCGGTCTTATTCCGTTGAATGCCAGAACATGAACATGGTCGTGGCACAGGAAGAAGGCAGGGGCACATCCGTATCGTGGTCAGAACCCGTGACCCCCCGATACGTACATACACGTGTAAACGTACGCGCGTTCGTCCGCACAGCACACACGCGAGCCGCGGCTTTGCCAAGGATTATCCCCCGCCCTACGGTTGCCCTCGGCTTTCATTGTGAGATCGCGAAGCGTCGGATATACGCGTCGGATCTGAATTTGGTATGCGATTTTTGATGCGGAGAATCGAGTCTAAATCCGAGCGAGTGCTCGCGCTGCGTTTAAACGGATAATTATTTCCTTCCCAAGCGATCATATGTCTGATAAATAACGTGTTTTTTTTCTTTTCGATGCTGCATAGATTATGTGAATATTTACCTAAACTTATAATTGCACCTGCTCTATATATTTTATTTTAAATTAAAACAATACGCATCTCGAAAGATGAAATTTTAGGATAAGGAGATTCACGTGCGAGAAGATGATTTTCATTCGAATTTATCGGAATTTATTACATTTTCCTAATACATAATGTTACTGGTTTATTATTTTTTAAACGATTACGCGATGTAGAAACGACGCCTTGTTTATTTATTTTAGGTACTGAGATAATCGCGCATTACACGTGGAGTGGCCAACCGCTTTGAGATGCGAAAGAATGTGCCAAATTGATGACGAAGAATTAAGCGGACTGAAAGCGCGTCCAGAGAGAGAAAGAGAGGGGTGCAAGAAGCGATAGGGTGGCCAATTGGCTGTGTAATGTCAGAAAGGGGTTGCTTCTCGCCCCTCGTACTCGCTAACATCGAGTATAGACGCTGCGTTATTTTTATAAGTTCGGCAGACCGAACGCCGAAAACGATGCTAGCACGCTAATCCACGACGTAAACCATTTTATCGGAATTTTATATTCCTTGTCAAATTAAGGTCACGTTTTTTCGATATAGTTATACTTTTTTATTGGCTTCTCATATATTAAAAGCATTTTTTAAATGATTTTTCGGCATATACACGGAAAGGACATTTTTGCTGAAGTATCTAAAAATTTAGTTACAAAATTTTGTTAGATTATCAAAATAATTATGTATAGAACGTATAAACATTGATGATAATGCTGCAAAAGGTTTTAGCATTTTAATAACCTGTTTTAAAGGTTCATTTTTGATGGTTCAAACAAAATTATTTTTAGATCTGTATCTAACTAAATTTTTAGATACTTTAGCAAAACTGTTATGTCTGTGTGAATAAAAAAGATTTTAAATTATCCTAATCGATAAGTTAGTGATCCTCATAGAGTTCAATTACGCTTTAATCTGTTAATAAAAAGCTTAATTATTTTAAAAAACTAAACTATAGAAATTGAAATACTTAGTTCTATTTTTTTCTTTATTTGTTACATTTATTCTAAAAAAAGAAATATATTCCTTTTTAAATTGTACATCCATGTGTTTTTTCGATTAATATTATTCTTAAATAAACGGAACATTTTTCACATTTTAATAAAATTTGAAATATTGTATATATTTTTCTGCGATTTTATGACAAATTTTTCCAATTTTATTTACAGAAAAATATCACAATCGTATAAATGATTTTGTGTACAATATTTCATCCAGGCTGAAACAAAAACAAAAAATTACCTGTACTTGATCCGTCTTCGTGTTAGCAGCCATCCATGCCTCTACAAAGGTGTCCATTGCGCTCTGAAAATCCATTCCCTTCTGGGGCCTCAATAATTCTCCTGGGCCTCGGAAGTCTCCGCCATTCGTGACATATCGCGTTATACTCGAATTCTCACAAATTCATAGCGTCAATTTTAGTCCTGGCACTTATCAATTAAGAGTCGAATGTAATCGAAAAGATGACAGGTTTTTAAAGTCGAATATCAGTTTTTCTTGTCTTCTAAACGTCACTTGGAGCACCTTGTCTACGACAAATATTGATAATCGCGCGAATGACATAAAACTAATTTACAATCGAAATCACAGACGTGCATGAAATGTCCGCTTATTTACGTAGGAGGTTCTTACTATTACAAGTTCTTAATTTCTAGCTACTGTATGCTAATGATAAACGCGTGGGTGATCATTTTTTTATATACTGAAACGATTTATACACCTATGATCATTACCGTCTGCTCTAATTTTGCTTAGGTTAGATTGAAATATTAAATATATGATTAAACTGCGCGTACCTCTGACTAGACTGCGGAAAATCACACACGTGCTCGCAACTCATTACGATAAATATCGTCTCGGAGTAAAATCGGAGTAAATAGAGCGATCTACAGTCTCGACCCGTTTCCCGATCACCAATCGGCACGTCCGTCTATTCAGAACGTCACGTACACAATTCTAAACGCCAACATCGATCGTAGTCTCTCAATCATCGATCACAAGATCAGTCAACGTTGCCAATCATCTCCCTGAGAAGGCCGCGAGGCACTGTTTCGGCGCGCGTGGGTTGTCACCAGTCATCAGTACCAAACATGTGCGTAGCTCGGCGTGCTCCGAAAACTCGGACTTGATCGATTCCTTCGGACGTTTCTCATCGAGAAGCCTCTTCGGAGCGACTCGGGATCACGATCGCATTCACGTCATCGTCCCTCTCGTCCCGAGTGTACCTCTGGAAATCGCGTACGATCGCCAAGCACCAACGGAATGTCATTCGCGCCACCGAGAAGAACGGGCGCACGGTCCGCGAGGACAACACACGTTCGCAGGGAACGGCGTTCGAGCCGCGACTGTGCGCGTCGAGGCGTCGCGGCGCTCGATCTGCTGCCCCTACGACGCCCTACCCGCGAGCGCGCCGTCAGTATCAACCCCACCACCCGGTCGTATCGCCGCCGCCACCACTGCCACCACCACCGTCACCGTCACCATCACCACCACCACCTCCATCGCCCACCGCGATACCGTCGTCTCGCGTCTACCGATATCGCGGCCGAGTGCCTCCTCTGGTCCTCACTCGGCTGCTGGTTCACCCTCTCGCTCGCCGACTCCTCCGGAACCCACCTTCGTCGTACCCCGCAGCCCGAGATCCCGTCGTCTCGTTCCCGTTTTCTCTTATCCTCCCCCGATTTCGCTACGAAGCTTCCTCGCTCCGGATAAGGCGTCGTCCCTCTCACGCTTTACCGCTTCCTTCTCCTTCGTCTTTGTTTGTCGCGTTAAGTTCCTTTCCGATCACGTCGTCTATTTTTGCGCCTTTTAATATTGTCATGTTAATATTACAATTGTAACACATCTTTAACTGATAAAATTGCTATTTATTATAATTATCCAAAAAATATAGTTAAACAAAATTTTTCTGAAATCTATGAAAATTTCCTTTTTTTGGAATCTTCTTTCATGCTTATAATCTTTGTAGTCGCTTACTTAAATTAATTTTGTATCTCCTACTTTTTTTTCTTTATTAATCCATTTTCTATTCTACTTTCCTCAATAATGTCGTACTTCTTTCAATTTGTTAGAATATTTTCTCTTTCATAAACTACTGATTTTTTTTCCCATTCAATTTCTTGCTCATATTCATATTTGTTCATCGCGCCACGAAAGATTCGCTCTCTCATTCCGCACCCATCTCGTCTCCTTTTTTTTCGAAATCTTTCTCCGTTAAATTCGATTCTCACCCACTCTTTTCTCTGCACTTCGGCACCCCCACCAAGAACCTATTCCAGGGGTGTGTCTAAAGATAACGTGCACATACACCTGTCCACCTGCAACACGTTCCCTGCGAGAGTATACACAACTACCGATGACCGAGCTTAAATGAAGAAACATGAAGCGATATCTATGCCACTGCATCGATTTTTTTCACGATCGCGAAGCATTAAAACAAGTTTTTATATCCGCGGGATATAAAATTATTTATATAAAACGAGTCTTCGAATCAGCTTTTAAAAACTGTTTACTTTGAATTATTGAGAAACTTGAAATAATAACTATACATTAAATAAAAATGTTTAATAATAATCGTTAAATATCAAACATATATTAAGAGGATATACATATATTAGTGTATTACTTGTACAACATTATTTTCGAGTAAACTATTTTTTTTAATTTATCAAAATGAATTTTTTATTGGTTACCTTTAGGACAATCTCAATGTGGATAATTTCAATATGTTTATGATAATAAAGAAAATGAAAAATATGTATCAAATATCTTACATAATGCAAAAATATTGCATATGTAAAAATAACTGAATACGCAATAATTAAATATGGTTTGAACAGATTTTTGCATTTAATTCCACGCGATAAGAAGCAACAGATGCGTATTTGGATTAGAAATTGATTCGATAGAATCATTCTTTGACCTTCATAATAAAAGCGATCAAGATCTGATACATTGAAATCTCATCCACTGATAGATAAGCATAAGCAGATTAATAAGCTAACATTCAAGCTCAAGGAACTTGTATCTCCTTATATCTGTTGGGCTAAAGATATGATTTGAGATTTGAGTTGACTTTGAATCAATTTAAAAGGAAAAATCCAAATAAATGGAAAAGATGTACTAAGAAAATAGCATTAAATAAAGATATAAGACAAACATAAAAGACATAACGAACATTCAGAGACTTCATACGTCCATCAGCAACAATTCAAAAAGAGTTCTAAATTTCAATAATTTGTAATGTAATTTTTTTTCTTTTGCTTTATCTGATTAATCAATGAAAATAATCTTAGATTAAAATGACGGTAATTAATATAAAGGCAGCTTTTCATCGACATGTCAACCACAGTTCTCTTCAGTGTTGCGAAAATGGATCGTTCAAAATTGAGAGCCTCAAAGGGAACGTACACATACGTATGTGTGCATACGTACTCGCAGATTCCTGTAAACGTCGCTGCCAGATTAGACAATCTCTGGGAATTAATTTCCATAGACGACAAAAGTAACATCGTTACCGATTCCAGCAGTATCCGCGAATTTTCGGTGCTTCGCGAGCGACGTCCTTTCCGATTACATCCTTCCGCGTTTGCGTATGTGACACACGCGCTTTCGTAATGCACATATACGGCTTCACTTCGTCAGATATGATATGAAACAGCGGTGTCGATGTGCTCCAAGATACAAGCGCGTTATTATCGTCTGATAATCCGTTTGAATTAGCTGAGTTCGCAACTCAGCCTGACCGTTTTATCGTGGGATTAACGATTAAATGAAGTATTTGTGGTATAACCAAGAGATATCTATGAGGATCAGTAGATAATGCGACGGTTACGTAATCGGTGACAAAATATTTCCGACAATCTTTTATTGACGATGTTAGCTAATCTATCGTCGCGACGAAAATCGGTTTGATTGGTTGTGCTTTTGTTTCTCTCAGAACATGTGTGGAAAATAATGTAATAGGAAAATTCCAATAACGATTATGATATAGATTATCGTCTCCGGTTTCACTTTCCGGTGATTAAGAATATCTTAGGTGATTAAGAATATCTTAAACTCATATAACTTTGTTGATATGATTTTATAAAGAATGAATTTTTCATTTGAAAAAAATGAATTTTTTTTTGAATTTATTATGTAATTACTTCAGTTATATCGAATTAATATACAGTTGAATAAAACTGATCTCGTGTTACGCATTTATTTAACAAAATAAAAGAGTACGGACTATCAGCGTATACGGTTTAATTTCAGCTTCAATAGCGTCCGATTGGCGTGCTGGATAATCCTGGGATTAAAGTGAGTGCTCGAGAGATAATGCCTGATTCACCTGCCGCGTGTCGATCAATACTACTTTTACGTAACAAAAAGGTTGCGTTATTTTTTTTTATAGAAGTTATTTAATTACGATTGGGACAACACAAAGAATAGTTTACTGCTTTTACGATAACGCATACCAGGCAAAATCGCGATAGCAATTTGGAATAACGCAGATATTTTAATTAAGTAATTTAATTAAGACTTTCAAGTCTTTCAATTCAATTAATCAAAACTTGCGTTCAATTAAAATATTTTTTTTTTATAAAAATGCTTATCATTCAAAGCTCGTCGAAAACAATTTAAAATTGTTCTCATTTTCAAATGTTTATATCATTTTGTTTTACTTATTTTTGTATTTTTTATTTTACTATTTTTTGAACACGTATTTACTATGACATGTGTCTGTCTTGCGTGTTTCCGTAGGTATCACCGAAAACCGCGCATGTAAATCTCCAGACAAATTTGTTTCGACAGACTAAGAGTCTAGCGAGATTTCGTTCGCCGATACAGCATTTTACACTCGCCACATCCGAGCACTTTATTTCACGAGGATAGACAGTAACCAGACACGTCATATAAACGCATCTGTATCTAATCCTACTGTTACGTCTTAATCCACTCTGATCTATCCTACGATAATTCGAATTCAATTAGATATTAGATCATAGGGGATCTACAAAGTGTGTTTTCAATATTTTATTTAACAAGACTAAAATTTATTCCAAGATTTTACAAATTTTAATAAAATAAAATTTTAAGACTTCTTTTATTCATTCTTTTCTCTTACTTTAACATATAATTATTAAGTGTAAAATAAAAATATATAATAATAATGATCAACCATATATAAATATATACAATATATAGTACCTAATAACAAAGTTCTCCATTCCTAAGATTAAATGGATACCGAGAATATGATTTATTGCTATCTATGCATACTAAGCGCTTCGTAAATTACTCATTCTTGTCGAATGTTACTGGTCAATGCACTCAGCATCTAATCCCGCACCGTTGATTACGACACCGAAGCCAATAAAGCATCGTAATCAAAAGCTTCGTTTCAAACTTCCTCGTCGCAGTCTGGCGATGCATTCTTCGTTTCGCCAATGGAACCGGCGTCAGCTATTCCTCTAACGTATACCAGATACACACGTACGCACACGTACTTATTACATACACGTGCTTGCGCGCCATCCGCTTCCAAGGGAGAAAGACGACGGGGGTGGAAACACGACAGTGGGGTAACGATTGCATCCGCGGATGGCTCTGATGCAATCTGTGTGCAAAGCGGTCTAAAGTTGCAACTCCTACGACGGAGGGCCATGGGTGGGTACGTCGCTGAACAGGGAGAAGGAAAGAGGAAACGGGGAGCAAGGGGGTGAGGGGGGAAGCAAAGAGGGTCCAGGGGGGGTTTCGAGCCGCGGGTGGAAGAAGGACCGCGCGTCCTAGGTCGCGTCTCGGGACGAGAGGGCTGCGCGGGGGTTAACGTTATCGGGCGCGGTGGCCCTTGGCAGGGTGGTTTGCCAGGGTCGACAAAGCACCGGATGGTAAAGCCCTGTTCCCTGGGCGTGCACCCACGAGCTTGCGGGCGGAGCATGAACGGCACGCCTACTACGGAGCTTTCGTGTCGAACCACGAAGACCGGCGCGTTCGTCCTACGTCCAGGACGGCGTATCCCCACTTTAGATGCCTTCTCGTTCGGGCTCTCTCTCTTTCCATCCGGAGCTTTTTCGAGGTAAGGACGATCCTCGCCACCTTACGACGGGTACACGGACGTCTCACACTTCTGCGAGCGTGTACGCGCTTATCCGAGGTGTGGGAGGTAGTAGACTGGGAAAAGAGGGAGAGAACGCGAAGGAGAAACGGTCGAGGCGGGCTGGCTCGCTACGAGAAAAGCCGAGTTTTCTCGAGAGGGACTATAAAGGAGAACAGCGGGAGGGAGGACTAAGAAGCGCAGGAGAGGGACAACTAAGGCGAGAGTAACGTATGCCCGGAGCTAATTTGCCGGAGCTTACCCGGGAAATTACGAGCATCCC